ATCAGTTCTGAATGGACAACTTTCAAATAGAAATAACCCTTGTAAATTTAATAGTTCTCGTAAATTAAAAAAGACTGAACAGAATCAAGACAGCTATTGTTTGCAACATGAAAATGAAATTGTGTTTTAAGACTGCAAAAATGTGTAAAATTGCAAAATATGTAGAATAAAAATATTATTTTCATTTTTATTACGTGAGGCTTTTTTGAAATTTATTAAATTTGTTCTATATGCATTTCCCCAACTGTCAACGCAATCTAGCATACGTGGGATTAGAATAAATCAGAATATTTGCAAACATGTTACATCAAATAATTCTCTAACGCTACATAAAGTACCAACAAATTTTAGAACGATTTTTTTCCCTAAGCTATACATGTATAAAAACTATTATTATTATTATTATTATGTGTAAAAACTAAAATGACAGCGGAACTAAAGTTTTGTTTCTTGTTCCGTCGACCGTCGGACCAACAGTGAATTCCGTCTAAACATGGCGGCGGTTGTGAAGTTGATTCGAAGGGTTTTTGGAGGAGGACAAGGAGGAGGAGGAGGTCATGGAGGATTGCGAGGATTTATTAATCCTATGTTCAAGTCAGTTTCGTAAACCTTGTTTACAGTTTGTGTTTTGTGGCTGAGGATAATTTAGATAAATAAATTTACATTTTTATTCGTGCGTCTATGAAGCTAACCAGCTAGCGTGTTGTTAGCAGTCAGAAAGGACTTGGGGGTTATCATTTTAATTTTCATGTAAAACTGAAAGAACAGCTTGTTGATAGATTTAGTCGTTTAATGCAAGCATTACAATTATTTTCCAATCATTATTTTTTTATTTCGGTGACTATAAGAGCCTGTGGTTAAATATATTTGTTCCTAATTTGCAGAGAGAACGACAATAAACCTGGTACCTTCGTCGGTGAAGATAAATATGGGAACAAATACTTTGAGAACAAGCGCAAATTCTTCGGTGAGTCGTGATCCAGTGTTTGAGGGGAAAACAGTGAAAATCCTCCCTTTGATGTGTTTTGTTGACATTGTCTTATTTCTGTGTTCAGGACGCCACCGTTGGGTGGTGTACACCAAAGAGATGAACGGAAAGGACACGACGTGGGACGTGGATCCCAGCATGGTGACACCTGAATGGTCAGATATGGGATTTAATATTAAAAGAAAGCAGACAATGTTGAGAATGGGTTGGCTTTTGCTTAAAATGTCTCAAACTGCCAGATTAAGTTAAATGTGCATTTTTCTAGCGATCATAACCATTTAAGTGTGTCTTGTAAATGTAATCTGCCTTTTTTCTTTTTTTTTTTTTTTTTGAAAGATGAGCAGAAATAAGCCTAAAGTGC